GGAGGGAGAGAGCTCGCTGACATTTCTACTGAAGGGGCGGCAGTGGCGAACAGGAGAGGTGCCAGGTGCAGGGAACCTGCCCGTCCGGCTGCACAGCCCTGGCACCGCCATTCAGGGGACGTTCAGTTTTTATGGAAACTGTCAGGCCGCAGGCAAAGCTCTGGGGGTAGCTCACAAGCAGCGAAGCTGGCTGAAATGACAGACTCAGAAAGCCTCTCGGAGGGCATTTCCAGGAAGGAGCAGGAGGAGGGTAGCGTGACAGCCGGCAAGGCCTGAGCGCCACAGAGGAGCTATTGTTTGACGGGGCGGGGGAGGGAGGAGAGAACCTCACACAAAGAGGATGGAAAGAGAATCCAAGTGACAGCACAGGTCGTGGCTGAGCGGACAGGACGCCTCACCCGTTTCACAAGACGCGGTTTCACTCCCGCCCAGGCCTCCTCCCGCCCGCCCTCCGTTCAACCAGCGGCCTCGCCCCGGCTGAGCGAGAAAATGGGCGGCGCTGTGGCCTCGAGGCTCCGGGATTCGGGCATTTATTTTACCCTCCTGCGTGGGCAGGCGAGTGTGCTCTCCGTGAAGCACTCTAACACCGACTCTAACAAACCTGCTAAGAGAGTTTCCGGGGGACACTTTCTCACTATCAGAGCTGGAGGAGATCTTTCAGTTTCCAGTGGGAGCATCTATCCCATCCCGGTGAGGGGAGCTTCTCCACACATTTCCCGTCAGGAAAACCGTCCTGCATCTCCACACGGACCCACCCGTTCCTAGAAGGACAGGACTACCGTCTGGGCACCACGTGAGTGTCTTGTTTTCACTTCGATAAACACGTCTTCTCCAGCTGCGCGAAGGGAAGCCCAGGAGTGGGATGAAGTCATTCCGGAAGCGTCCGTCCGAGGGGTCGGGGGCGGGACCGGCCGTCCAGCTCATGGCGGAGCGCGCCTGCCTCGCCGCGCCGCCTCTCCTCCGGGCTTACAGGAACAGCTCCCTGACTCCCTTCCCCTCCGGAGGAGCGCACGCTGTTGTTCTCAATCCCTGCCCACACGGAACTGCCATTACAAGACGCCTGACTCACTGCTCCCCCTCCTTCACGGGGAGCTTCAGGCTGGACACCAACCAGCCTGCCCGCCTCACGCACCCAACAGGCCACGGGCGCCGATGCCTCCGGGACGGGACCCGTAAAGGCGAGCGATGCGCTAGGTCCAAGCCAACCGAGGCCTCGCTCACAGTGAACTCCAGACAGTACGCGCGGACAAGACAGCAGACTGCATCCCACACGCACACACAGGACATCCATGAGCCCAGGGAGCCACAGCCACCCCTCAGCGCCCCCTCCCTCAGCGACCCTCCCCTCAGGTCGATCAGAGAGACTGAGCTTGCTGTGAGCTGTGGCCACACAGCTGGGGGACTGTGACCAAGCATGTTCCCACCCCACCACCGCCAATGCCGCCCGGGGTGTGTGACAGGGCTCCCTCCGACGTGGCTGCCCAGTTCTCACTGATTCCACATACTGTGCTTTGGTCTCTAATTTCCACTCCTCTGGAGTTCAAGGCCACTTGCCCAACCACCACGGAAAGTGCCGTCTTGGGAGCAGAGTCCCCTCAGCGCTCTCCACTGGCGAGAAGCCCGCGCTTTCCATGTCCTCCCGTCAGACCGTCTCTCCAGGCAAGGCCCAGGCCCGCCCCTGCGGCCGCATTCCCACGGGGAGACACAGAGCAGGGCCTGCCCTCCGAGTGTGAGCACCCGGCGCCCGCACACACAGCCTGCCAAAGGAGTCCGTGCCCTCTCCGTGACTGGCTTTCCTCCATCTGCTTAAATCCTTGTAATATTTTTATTGATTTCAGAGAGAAGGGAGAGCGAGGGAAACATCAGTGATGAGAGAGAATCATGGGCCAGCTGCCTCCTGCACGCCCTGCAGTGGGGGTCAAGCCCACACCCCGGGCCTGTGCCCTGGGCGGGAATCCAGCCGTGGCCTCCTGGGTCCCAGGTCGACGCTCAGCCACTGAGCCCCGTCGCCAGGCTCCTCTAGTTACGTCAGACCTGAGGCTGTGGGGGGGCCCTCACTTCCTATCGCTACCAAACCTCCGCTCTGTGTGAGCCCAGGCGTGCGGCCTACCCTGAATTTCCACTTGTTCTGGAACAACCGCGCTGAGCAGAACCATCCCGATACATAAATCACGTGTGACTTCCACGTGTCCCGTGGGGCGGTGCAGCACCCCTGTCCTCAGAGACCAGGATGCTGCAGTGAGGTCTCAGGCCAGCCCGTGTTCCAGCCGGGACCGCGCACGGGGCCCGGGACAGAGCAGGACTCAGACCGCGGGGCGAGGTGCACAGCGGGCTCTGGGGAGGTCTCTGCGGGGAGATCTCTGCAGGAGCCCGTGGAGGCGTAGCTTCTTCCCGCCCTCCTTCACCAGCCCCTCCCCCCACTGCTTCTTCCTGCCCAGCTCGCCCGCGGCGCTGTGCACGCAGGAGGCCGCCGTGCGATTAGCTGTCGCACAGTGAGACGCGAGCGTCTGGTCACTGAGCTCACCCAGAGGCGTCTGCCTCCGGAGATGCCTGACGACCCAGACCGGCTCTGTGCGGCACAGAGAACGGAGAAGCAGATGAGTAGGCCTGTCCCGTGGAGAGCCAGTGCTCCTGGGGCCGTTTCCAAAACGTCCCTGCCTTTCTAAGCAACATCTTCCCACCAGCCCCTCTGCAAACGAATGATGTACCCGGTCCAGTCGTGCCTCAAGTTTCCATGGTAACGGCAGGTCTGAGGACGCTGATGGAGGTGTGCAGGGGCAGGAGGAGTCTAGCCTTCAGAGCACCTTCCCCAAACCAGATCGGAAGCCAAGGGTTCAAGACTCAACCATTGTGAGCAGGAGCGGCAGGGCAGACCCGTGCCATTGCCGGGCCAGAATTCTGGTTTTCCTCAGCCTGAGTTCCCTTTACACAGAGTGGGAGGGGAGGGGAATGCCACCCATCTCCAACAAACCTTCGTGTTTGTGGGGGGAGAAGAAACGAGTTGAGAATCAACAAACGGATCCTAAATTAGAACAAGAAAGCGGATGTTTCAGAAATAAAGACCCTACAGGATTCTGCATGCCCCTGTACTCCCCTCTCGGAGCCCGGAGGCACCAATTACTCTCAGTGTAAAAACAGCAAACACCAGCCCGGCCAGGGAAGCGGGACCCACAGCCTCACTGGCAGGGGGTCTGCACCGGCTTCAAAGGCAGCGGCTCATTAAGAACGGCACCGCGATGGCAGTCAGCGCCGGGGGTCCGGACGGGAAACGGAACCGAGGTGAGCCTCGCCAACTCACACTGCGATTAAGGCCGCTTAGGGCACGCCCCAACACTGTTTCTCTTCCGTACAAACACGAGGCCTTCCAAATGCCAGGAGCCATCATCCCCACCCGTCACTGTCACCAGCTCCCGGGCCTCCTCCCTGAGTGACACAGCAAACAGCACCCGCCCGCCCGTCGCCAACGCTGCCAGGACCTCCTCGCTCTGACAAGTGGGCCTCCCCGACCGCACACCTACAGGACGGGGGCCGCCCTGAGCCTCTTCACTTTCCTGGACGGCCAGAGGGGAGAAGCTGGAACCAGAGGACTAACTCAGGGTCACAAGCAGTCAGAATCGTGACCTCTTGTTTCTCAGCTGGTCCCTACTTGTGCCATCTCTCTGATTTTCAGTAAGAACAGAAGTACCCGAGGGCACTGGGCCAAGCCTCTCATAAAGGCTGTTAGGAGCCAGCACAGAGTCCTATTAGGTTTAATTTCAAAATTGCTGCAGCACAATTACAGCCGACGGGAAGTGTGCTTTCCCTCCCGGACTCTGCAGGGAATTCACGGCCTCACGCCTGGGGTCTGGCCTGGGTGGCCTGAGGTCCCAGCAGCACCGCAGCGCTTCCTGGCAGACAGTGGCCGCTCCCACCCGCAGCCTTAGACACACACTGCCTTCCGACGATGCTGCCACCACTCACAAGGTCCTCAGGCATCGGGCCGTGTGGCTGTTTAGAAAAGTAAAAGTAAAACCCTGCGGTAGTTCAGCATCTACCACAGCGTGGTTAAACGAACGGAAAGGAACTCTAACTGTCATCCACATGACCTCTGAATTGGGGCACTTCTTCACTTGTGATCACACCTAAATGACTCTTAAACGACTGTCTTCAAAGGTGACACTGTGAAACACCACTGCCACCGAGACTTGTACTAGGGCCTTCCTGAAGGTGCGCCGCCAGCTGCAGACCGGCTGCACACTCCCCCCCCCCCCCCCCCAGCCCTGAAGGAGGGAGGAGTCGCATGCCCGTCCGTCCAACGGCAAACGAGGGAACGAAGCACAGTGAAAGGGAGGTGTCGCAGGCAACTCCGCAGGTATCAACCCCCTTCCCCCCCACACCAATCTCCGCTGGCCCACTCCGGGGCTCACACACCGCACCTCCTATGCTGAAGGGGGCTGACAAGAAAGAACTGCGTGGTCTGGAGGAAGGATAGAAGGGGAGGAGGGTAGTTTCATAGCGCCTGGGAAAGAGCTGTACTTTCAGGAAACATGAAATCTTGAAGGAGAAAATGAAGCCCCAGTGGGCGCAGGTCCCAGGGAAGAAATCCCAGGCTGCGAAATAACAGCTCTTCTTCTCCCCAAACACCCCACCCCCCCCCCCACCGCCCCGGTCCATGCTCATCACGATTTTCGGGTCTAGCTATCTTCCGGCCGAGCTAGTCTCCCTGTTCCTTAGCAAAGCCCTGACAACGTGCGGCCCCAGCCGGCGGCTCCGCTGCCTGGAGGTCGTCCCCATAGGCCAAGGCTGCAGGTTGATCCCTGGTCAGAGCTCTTACAAGAACCAACCCACAAATGCGTAAACAAGAGAACAGATCGACGTTTCTCTCTCTTTCTCTAAAAATCAATATATTTTTAAAAAAGAAATGAAAACTCGCAGAACTGTAAAAACCTCAGTTGTCAAATCACTAAGCCCCTCCCGCCCCACCGGCAGGGGCGGCACAGGGTCCCGGCGGCACCGCCTACCTTCGCCTCGTCGTTGATGTCCCAGGTGAAGGAGATGGCATTGTAGGCGATCTCCTCGATGTTGCTGATGGTGTTGAAGCTCTCTTTGTAGTCGGCTACGAGTGACAGAGGGAATGGCCTTTGTGATCTCTCAGTCCCCGTGAGGGCAGGCGCGGTGAGATCCATGTTTCACATGATCCCCTCGGGTCCCTTACATTAACACTTTGTTGAGTTGACAGAAGTTTAAAAAACGAAGAAAGGTAGTTTCTGTAACTGAGCAGGCGTAGAGGCCTGCATCTCACCGTGTAAGGGGAGGCTCATGGGCCACAAATGGGTGAGCCACGGTCCCTGTCACAAAACCACCCCGAGTTCCCCACGGAGGGCCTGGTTCCTTTCAAACGGACATCACCGGAGGCCAACAACGGGAGCGGCACTAAGTTAGGGGCCGGCATACGGGACAGACTGAAAACGTGGCACACGGCAGGAAGGGCGGGTTTTCGCGCAGGGACTGCACTCTGGATGGGCTCTGTGGAGAGGCTCTCACAGGCAGGGAGCCCGGCGCAGGCAGGTCAGTGCTGCCCTCACCGGGGCACCGCCTCTCCCTCTCCCTCACCACCACCCCCGGGTGGTCAGACCCCGCCAAGCTGTGCCCTCGGACACCTGCGACCAGAAGGCGGGCACCTGTGTGAGCTGCTCCGCTGGCCGGGCCCAGGGCCACGCGGAAAGCTGCAGGGGCCCCAGCCCCCCAGAAGGAAGCACCGTGAGGAGCACGGGTTCCAGGAGGCGAGGACAGCTCTGGAACGGGCCAGTCGCTGGCACACACATTCCCACGCGTTCGGCAGGAAGCTGGTCGCTGCCAACAATAACTGAGGGGGTCTGGCCGCTGTGCCCGGGGACCAGGCGCCCGGAGCTACGTACCGATGTCAATGCACCTCTGCTTGGCCGTGTGCTGCCGGGAGTGCCAGTACTTCCAGTGCCTCAGCTGGTCCTCCCTGGTCTTGTCCTCGGCGAACACCACCATGATCACGCTCTGGGAGAGAGAACTCATTTCAGCGGGAGGGCGACTCGGGGAGCATCTCGGGGACGGCGCCTCCGGGTCAGGGTCCACAGGAGAGGCTCCGCGCTGCCGTGAGACCTGGCCCTGCCCCAGGCCTGGCCCCGGGGACTCACCCGCACTTTGCTGATGGGGTGGTGGATCCCCTCGTTGCTGCTCACTTCCTTCAGGGTGACGGGGTAGAACTGGCCTTTGTTCAGGTAGGTCATGGTGCTGTCCCCCGGCTTCTGGCGGAGCGACTTGGAGGCTTCCAGCGTGTACTCGAAGTTGTTCCTGAAGAAGAGAGAACCGCCGGGCTGGGGCCGCTCCCTGGGAAGCTCCTCCAGCTCTAGCTCAGTCTCGAAGCGCGGCAGCGTGGACGTAGGACACGGCGGCCCCCCGGACGCGTCGTAAGACCGTGTCCTATGACCCAGAGCAGCTTTCCCCATGATAAGCCTACTCTGAGCTACACAGAAAGCCTCGTTCCACCCACTGGGACTAGAGGCCGAGGGAATTCCTTGAGGGATGCTAACAGGGAGAAGCTGGGAGGCTGAGAATATTCCAGATGCTCAGACGCGGAAAGGGCTCTGGAAAGAAGCCTGAGAGACAGCTGTCCTGCAGCTCCTTGCCAGCAGAGGCCCAGCAGGTGGCCGGGGCCCGTTGGCTTCGCTCCGCACAGAGCTTTCCGGCTGTTCCTGCTGCGGCTGGACGGGCCTCAGAGGGCACGCCACGGTACTCTGCATTTCCCGTGGCCTTCGAGCCCATCCCCAGAGCCCCCGCAGTTGGCTCATCACCTGCCTAGGCCTTGGCTGGCAAATCACACCCGTGTCTAGGAATGAAGTGAACCTGTCTTTGTAAATAAGACGTAAACTGTGTGGAAGACAGGCACGCCCTAGGGTTCGAGTCATCGGCAGCTGCCTGTGCGAGGCGGTGGCGGCAGAGCCGGGCCTTGCGACAGGCCACCCGGAAGGCCCGGGGCGCTGGCTCTCTGATCCCCAGGTCAGCCTGCCCCGGCCCGGGCCCGGGAGCCCTGTGCGTCTGAGGCTCCTGCCCCGAGGCAGGCCTTTACAGGAAGCCTCACTTCCCATCAAACCCTAGACTTTACTATTATTTTTTAAAAATCCCAGACTTTTAAATACAAAAATTTTAACATCAAAATACACACACGTAAAAAATACATAAAGCAAAACTATAAAATGAAATCTTAAACTCTTTCAGAAAAATCTGAAGGTGTTGCCATATGTTCCTACTAACTTGGGAAATAAATACCCATGAGTGCGAGGTGCCCTGGGGGAGGTTTAGGGAGGCATCGGGTCAGAAAAAGCTGGCTTGTGCATGTCGTCCCCAGAGAGGGAGCGAGGCTAACTGAGAAGTGGAAGCCTTAGCCCCGGGGTCATCCCACTCCTAGGAACGAGGCACCTCAGCTCTAGCTGACGCCCCCCCACCACCACCACACCCCTCTCCTCCCAGCTCCACGGACCCGTCCCAGAGGAACCCCAGGGAGGAGAAGCAAGACACCAGGAAGGGGGCGTGGCCGCAGCGCGGGCTCCCATGGAAAGCGCAGCCCCGTCCACAGCAGAGAGAGGCACCCTGCCCGGAACCGCAGCAAGCACGGAGAAAGCCCGCGAAAGCCACCTCCGATTTTCCAAGATCGAGTGATCAAAACAGAAACGTCGCAAAAGCCAAAGTGAAATCAAATGAAAAGACAACTATTACCCAGAAACACTGTCAAAAACAAAGTCCTCTGAGTTCATGCCGGGCATCCGCAGACTGAGGTCCGAGGGGAAGAAAACCTGCAACATCAAGGGGATGGCCACAGCTGTCACCGGCTCCAGGCTGCCGGGGGCCAGCGTCGGGGACGGCGCAGAGCCCGTGGCTTACAGCAACCCACTACTGGTTCAACATTCGTTTGGAAACCTAGTTTCACCTCTACGAAGACGTAAAAAAGACAATTAAAAAGAAAGCACCCATTGCACATGCCACCCAATTAAGTGAAAACCATCCGAGTGAGTAACCCAAGTGCTTCGCCGATTCCCTTCCGCCTTTCCCACACAGCCTATCCTGTTCAAGTTCAAGAGCCTGCAACCAATGTCTCATAACCGTCAGGAGTCAGTGCCGTCGTGGCACCACGATCAGACAGGGTGTCAAGTTCACACAGGGCTGGGGGGACCTTCTCAGGAGCGTCACTCCTCCACTCCCGTCTCCGTGAGCAGAGACCCCCCACCCCAACGCCCTGGCCCACCATGCAATCCAGCTCCAAACGCCTTCAGTGCTAACTTCTGCCGGAGGCAATGCTCACCCTCCACCTCAGAAGCATTTGCTGCTCGTTTGTGAATCTCACACAGCACACCGCCTCCCTGCCAATACCGCCAGCCCAGCAGCACCGAACCACAAACACACGATAAACCGTTTTACACGGAGACAGGCTGCAGGAGCTGGCTCTGGCCTAGAACAAAAGCCAGAAACACGCTGGGGATCTCTCTGCTGTTGATGAAAAACTGCGTCTGGGGTTTCTCCTTCTCCTTCTCCAGCAAATCACGGTGCTGACATCGTAATTGTTAACTCAGCTGCTGGTAAGATTAGCCATGTGCCCCTGATGAGAATGTCTGGTTTTATAGGTTTAGTTTACAAATTACAGCCAGGGGCCTTTTCTCTTTAAAAAAAAATAAAAAAAAAATCCCAAACACTTTTGTTCCTAATCCACGCACTCCAGGCTGAGTTTCAGGCTTACGTAACAAGGAAGAGGCGGAACCCGATACTTAGACAACCGCGGCCCCTCGGGAAGATGCGGTACCTCCTGCACGCCCTCCTTGAAGGGCTCTGAGAAAGTCGAGTCTGGCGTCCGCCTCTGAGCGTTGGGGGGCTGGGCCGCAGAGCTGAACTGGTCCGCGCTGAGGTTCCGGTCGAAAACCACCACCCTCTCGGTGGGCTCGGGGTGGTACACTGCCGGAGGGACCCCCACCGCGAAGCCGTGCGGCTGGGCTTCCGTCTTGATGGAGTGGGTGGGCATGGTTGCTATGGAGACGGTGACTGTTGTGTCTGGAACTGTTAGGTGGCCTCTCTTGTCGATGCCCAGTTGGTTGCCGTGGGGAAGCACGATGTTGAAGGGCACGTTTTTCAGAACTTGCACTCTGTTCTCTCCGGCAGAAACGAGGGGCTGCTCGGTCACATTTGGTATGCTGTTTCTTAAGAAAGCAAAACCTGTTTCACTGCCAATCCAGTACTTCCACCATTTTTATTACTTATTTACTCATTCATTCATTCATTCATTCATTTAAAATCCTCACCTGAGGATATGTTTGTGTTGTTTTTTTCTGTTTTGTTTTTAAATATATTTTTATTGACTTCAGAGAAGAAGGGAGAGGGCTAGAGAGATAAGAAATATCAATGAGGAGCTGAAACCGGTTTGGCTCAGTGGATAGAGCATCAGCCTGCAGACTAAAAGATCCCAGGTTCGATTCCGGTCAAGGGCATGTACCTTGGCTGCAGGCACATCTCCAGTAGGGAGTGTGCAAGAGGCAGCTGATCGATGATTCTCTCTCATCGATGTTTCTAACTCTCTATCCCTCTCTCTTTCTCTCTATAAAAAATCAATAAAATATCTTTAAAAAAAAAGAAATATCAATGATGAGAGAGTCTTTGATTGGCTGCTTCCTGCACCCTCCTACTGGGGATCTAGCCTGCAACCCAGGTAAGTGCCCTGACCAGGAATTGAACCCTGACCTCCTGGTTCTTGGGTCAAGGCTCAATCACCGAGCCACACTGGTATGTTTTTATTGATTTTAGAGACAGAGAGGAAGGGAAAGAGAGAAAAAACAACACACTGATGTAAGAGAGAAACATCGATTGGTTGCCTTGCATACACCCACCAATGTATATCTTCCTCTCTGAAATAAAAAATGTTAAAAAAAAAAAAAAAGTTGAAGAAGCCAAAAGTAGATTAAACAAGAGGAATTATGTTGTAACTGTTCCCACATAAAGGTACATGTGGGTTTATAGTATTTCTCTACTTTTGCTGTTTGAAAATTCCCATAATAAAAAGTAAAAATAAAAGCCATAAGCCCTTTGCCAAGGGGTAATTATGAAGACTAAACAGCAACATGGAACATACTAAGTACAAGAACACTTATACCAACCCCTATCTGTGACTACAACCCGACCACATAAAATATGCACACAGACCCAAAGGGTAAACAGTCAGTCAGCACAGTGGTTCTGAGTGGCTATTCTTTCTCTAACAATGTCCTACTCCTGATTACTAGAGGCCCAGTGCACAAAAAATTCGTGTACTTGGTGGAGTAGGGGGGGGGTCCCTCAGCCTGGCCTGCACCCTCTCGCAGTCCAGGAGCCCTCAGGGGATGTCTGACTGACAGCTCAGGCCCGCTCTCTGTGGGAGGCAACCGGGCGGGCCAATTAGGGGACGGCACTGGCCAGCGAGCGTCTGGCCCCATCCCCATCACCCTGCCACTGCCGCTGCCACCAGCCTCCCTCTGCGGGAGGCGACTGCGTGGGGACAGGGTGGGCCAATCAGGGGATGGCCTCAGCCGGTGAGTGGTTGGCCCTGCCCCACCCTCCATAACCCCACCACTGCCACTGGTCATTGCTGCCTCACCACCCCATCGCCGTCTCCTCCCTCTGCCTGCTGGCACATGCCTTGGCTGGCCTGGCCACACCTGCTTGCCAGCCCGGCCCCCCACAAACTGGTTGTTCCACCATTCGGTCAATTTGCATATTATGCTTTTATTATATAGAATACAACACAGGGCAGTTTTTAATGTTTTAAAAATTTTAAGCTTCACTCGAGGATATTTTTCTATTGATTTTAAGAGAGTGGAAGAGAGAAAGAGACAGACAGAGAGAAATGTCGATGCAAGAGAGACACATCAATTGGTTGCCTCCCACACATGCCCCAACCAGGGCTGGCGATGGAGCCTGCGACCGAGGTACGTGCCTTTGATCAGAATTGAACCAGGGATTCTCCAATCCACAGGCTGACCCTCTACCCCCTGAGCCACACTGGCTAGGGCAAACACAGGGCAATTTTAAAGGTACATTTAAAAATTTTTATGGCTATAACATCAAGCCTTAATTTAGTTTTCTGCAAGTTTTAACCTAAAATAAAAAAATAAAAAAAGTAAATAAAAAACTTCAAGAGGAGTTTGGAATACAGTAGCATTTACTTTATTAAGTTTTGCTTAGGCAGTTGTTCAAAATCGTTGGTGCTCTGCTTTCCGAATGGACCCCTCCCCCCTTACTGCTGTAAGCCACATCCTTCCCAGAGAACATCCAAGACAAATAAGCAGGCACTTATGTTAGCATTGACACACGCCTCTGGAGGCGGAGAAAGGCCTCGCCTCCCCAGGACCGGTCACTTGCAGGGCGACAATCACACGGTGAGAGGCCGGCCGTCAGAACCCACACGCCCGTCTCTCCACCGGCACCCGTTCGCCTGAACAGACCCCCTCACTGCCACAGACACCGCATTTCTCGAGAACTGCCGGTGCTCCCCGCACACTCACCGTTTGCTGTGCTCGGCCTCGGGGTGCTCCACGTCGGCCTTGGCGGCGGATGTCCGCCTCTCTCGCGGCACCTGAGGCAGTGACACACGTGACACAGTTCAGTCCTCACTCCGCCAAGTGCAGGCCCAGCCCGAACCCCAGGCTCCGGGGGCAGAACGAGCTGCCAGCCTCACCGCGCGGATGTGCAAAAGCCAGCGCTCAGCTGCCGGACAGACCCAGTCACACATCGGCTGCCCGAGTGTGGGTTTCCCCCTGAGGAGCAGCACCGCCGGCCTGGTCTACCCACTGATCCACATAACGAACAGACAGGAAGCTCCTGGACACACTGGGCTCCTTCAGCGTTCTCGCTGCTCTCCTTCCAGAGCGAAGGTCAAGCCAAAGGGATCGGTCACTCAGCCGTGCCTCCGAGAGCCGAAGGCTGGCTTCGAGTGGCCAGCTTAGATACTGGGGGATTATCACGGTCCATTAGAAAAGAACAAATCGAACCCAGTTTGCTCTATTCTTTCTGTTGTTGTTGTTGTTGTTGTTAGTCCTCATTGATTAATTTCCCATTGATTTTTAGGGAGAGTGGAGGAGAGAGGGGAAGGCAGAGAGAAACATCGATGTGAGAGAAACACATCGATTGGTTGCCTCCTGTACGCGCCCTGACCAGGGCCCAGGTCGGGGAGGAGCCTGCAACAAAGGTCCTTGACCGGAATCAAACCCAGGACCCTTTGGTCCGCAGGCTGATGCTCTAACCACTGAGCCAAACCGGCCAGGGCTCTTTTTTTGATTCTACTCTTCCTTGCATAGGCGTTGAAAGCAGGCAAACATTCCTGGGAGTACTGCAGACATCAACCCAACTGAGCCTTCCTCCCAATGTGCACTCCAAAATGGCTAAGAGGTTTGAAACGTATTTTAGCCTTGAAGGAAAAAAAATGTATTATCTCCTGTGTTAATAACGTGTTTTTAAAGCGTTACCAAAGTTGTTATGTAAGAATGACTGACGGTTATACTTTAAAAAATGAAACATATAAGTCAGTTCATTTAAAAACAAACAAACAGCCCTGACCGGTTTGGCTCAGTGGGTAGAGCGTAGGCCTGTGGACTGAATGGTCCGGGTTCAATTCCTGTCAAGGGCATGTACCTTGGTTTCGGGCACATCCCCAGTGGGGGTGTGTGCAGGAGGCAGCTGATTGATGTTTCTCTCTCACTGATGTCTCTATCCCTCCCCCTTCATCTCTGTAAAAAATCAATAAAGTATATTAAAAAAAATAAAATAAAAACAAAGAGCCCTACCTATCATGAGCAGTGTGGCGCAGAGCACTACGAAGATGGTCTCCCTTAATGTGCAGACGCAAAAGCTTATCTCCTCCTCCTCAGATGTAAAATACACTTAGGACCCTTTATTTCACACACACACACACACACACACACACACACCCTCTGCCTCTAGTATCCTGGCATCAGTCTTCCCGGCATGCTCAGAAGTCTCAGTTATAAACATGTAACTTCAAACTCCTAATGAGCACTTAGGAGCTTACGGCTTTACACTGACTGAGTCAGTGAAACAAGCCATCCAGAGAGCAGATGACGTAATAAGTTCCACTCCAAGGGAGCCTGTAGTGGCTGCTGCCCAGACAAGGGTTTCTCCAGCATCACTAGTTACTACGCAAGCTCCATTCACAGTCAGAGAACAAGATGCGACCTCATCCTGAAGCACAGCACGGTGACCACGTGACCTCCTGCCAAAAAATCATGACATCTTCATGTAGGCCCCACCCTCATTTTGATAACGACGCCGTCTTCTCTGCTTTCCCTCTGCATCCCTTGTGTTCGGGAAAGGAAACTGGGCCGGAAGGTACCAGAAGGCAGGCAACTGGTCAATCCAGGGGAAAGCATGAAGGAGCGAATGCCCCTGGTTTTTTTGAAGCTTTCTATGGGTTTGGAAGTTTTCAAAACAAAACGATGGCGGAACGGAAGTGCCATCAGCAGCCTCGCAGAGTACCTGGTATTGGCCAGAAAGAAGCACTGCCAATGAACCGGCGAGCACAGCGCCTCCCACGGGAGACGGCAGGCACACCGAAGAGGATCGCTTTGGCACACACCAGCCTGGGCCTGGGACCCTGGCCACAGCACACGTGAGCATGTGACCTGAGAGCTCCCGCTTTCTCATCCGGAAACTGGGTAACACACTGCAAGGATTCTGGAGGTATGGGAGCAACACACACAGTGTGAGCACGTCCAGAGCGACACACAGTGTGAGCACGTCCGGCAGATCCAGGGGACCCGTGAGAGGCAGGAGAACGGGTAGGGCAGGAGGGGACACAAAGCGGTGGTGCCACCCGGCCGGCGTGGCTCAGGGGTTGAACATCAACCTAAGAACCAGGAGGCCGTGGTTCGCACTGGGCACTGGCCCAGGTTGTGGGCTTGATCCCCAGTGTGGAGCAGATCCATGATTCTCTCTCATCATAGATGTTTCTCTCTCCCTCTTCCTCTCCCTTCCTCTCTGAAATCAATACAAATGTATTTAAATAATAATAATAAATAAATAAAACAGAACAGGGGTGTCATGTATGTGAACACCGTGCGAAACGCCAGCCAGAGGACAGGCTGTTTAATCAAGATGCATCCAAATCTCTAGAAACAGGAAACAAAATCTATCCTGACCCGAGAACTAGGAAGTCCAAGACTAGCAAATGTACAATAGTTGGTTTTTCCTGAGTCCTACAACCAGACCAAATCCAATCACAGGCTTACTCCACAACCTCCTTTCGGGAAAAGGAAATGGCCTGGTGACGGTGGAATGAACCCTGCCGCTCTGACAGCTCCGAGAACCGCCTCCAGCCAACGGTCGGGAACCCCACCATCTTCTTTCAGGCGGCTTCCCCTTCAGAGAGTGCGGGGCAGCTGGCCACCCTCCCGTCAGAAAAACAGCCCTTTGATTCCAGGACTGGCGATGCTCGGCTTTGAACCGGAGTGATTCAAAGCACTCATTAAACCATTTATGGTCACCACAGAAGCAACTCGCAGGACATCCTCCAGCAAATTACTGTTTTAATGCCGCGGAGCCCGGCGCCCGGCGCACGGACCTTGTAGTAGTCGTAGAGCAGGCCCAGCGCCGCCGCGCTGTCCTCGTCGCCGTTGATGCTCATCATGGCCTTGGTTGCTGCCGTGAGAGGGTTCTCCAGGAAGGACTTCCAGGCTTCGTCCTCGCTGGTGTAGGAGCGCCGAGGGGGGTACAGGGCTTCATTCTGAAGAACCAACACCGGCCGTTTGCTTCGGGGAAATTAAGAAAACAAACATGTGTACACGTTTCTACTGCAAGGCATCCTAAGCTAGTTTTTAAAGAACCACACAACCAATCCATTGATGTCCCAATAAAAGAGTCCATTGTTTCGTCAACAGCCCAATAAAGTAAATTAAGACAAGACCAGAAACCGGGCCTGGGCGTGGCTCAGTTGTGGAGAGCTGACCTATGAATCCAGGGGGTCCCGGTTCGATTCTGATCGGGACACAGGCCTGGGTTTCGGGCTTGATTCCCAGTGTGGGGCGTGCAGGAAGCAGCTGATCAATGACTCTCTCTCTCTCACTGATGTTTCTCTCTCTCCCTTCCTCTCTGAAATCAATAATGTGTGTGTGTGTGTGTGTGTGTGTGTGTGTAAAACAAAACCAGAAGACAGCCCATTTAGTTGCAGGCCGATGGGTCACCCAGGAAGATGGAAGGTATGTGGGCAGCCAGGGAAGCTGCAGCTAGCCCACACATGGAACCCAGGACGTAGACACTACTTGGCAGGGGAGAAAGATATTCCAGGAAAATCCAGGCTATTCTAACACTTCATATACGCAAAAACCAAGGACACCAAGCGAGGCCAAACGGTTGATTCTGTGCAGAAACGCAATCAGGCCGAGCCCTCTTACAGAGAACATGTACAGCTCAGGCATCATGCTGCAACACGTTACTCCCGCGCTCCCCTCTGAGGCCGTGCCTTACAAACGCCTGCGCCAAGGAGAGAGGAGGGGGCGGGAAGAAGGGATCCTCCGAGCAATCCTCCGGGGGGTGTGAGAAAGAATACCCCTCTGCTTACCAGGGCCGAGCAGGAATGTGCCAAAGGGGGCTGTAAATCAATACGCAGGCACAATTTTCTGGCCTGGGAGCTAACTGTTTATCTTGGAGATAAACGCATAAGAATCTACAACCATCCACGAAGCCACACGAAAACAGAAAGGTCTCTAAGCAAACAGGAGGGGAAATCTGGTTTTTAAATTTTTACACCATTTTTTCCACACGGGGCGACACCTGTTTCATTTTAACCCTGTAGTCGGGTGGGAAAATAATCCAGAGAAAAATCAACGTGGGTCTTAGTGAACTCTTACAGAAGATTTGATTTAAGAGATTAAAGCAAACAGGACTGATTTAAAAAACTTGAAACGCAAACAGTCTCAGTTTGGCACTATTGAATAAGTCAATAAAGACAAAAAGCAGAACACTCACTCCAGCCAGGAGAAGTGTGTTTAAGGGGAAAACAATGTTTGAATGTTCAGAACTACTCTGAACGATCACTATTCTGACAAGCAAACTTAGGTTCTCATTGCGACACACCGATGAAATACGTGCACTGCCTAGAGGTGACCTCCCTCCTCTAAAAGTGAATGCAGAAAGAGATTATCTTCTCAGGCAATCAACAAGGGCTTGGCAGCCACCCAGGCCCTTTAAAAACAGATACGGATTTTTAAAACAGGAAAACACCTTTGAAAGGGGGAGGGAGGGGGTTGTGAAGGGAATCCGACAACTTAATTTATCCCCAGTCAAAAGTAAGTCTTATTTCAAAGCCGATGTGTTTCCGCATGCCTGGGCATACAGTCATGGGCGCTGATACTTGGTAGGAAAAGAAGTCTTGAGGTGGGGTGCTATCTTAACCCAGAACGAACCCCAGCGGCCGTTTGGGAAAGAGAGGAAGAGGAAGCAGCATTGGAAGCGGGGGCCTTCCCCGGGCCACCAGGAGCGGAGCACGCCGGCCCGCGGGACCCAGGGTGCCGGGCCGGGATGACGGCGGCGTTCCGGCTAAGCTGTTATTAATAGTGCTAATAGCTGCTCCCAGCGGATTGTGACAGCGCTTGGCTCATCCCAGTCCCATAAAGCGAGTTTTTCAGCTTCCCTTCTCCCACGCCTCCCCGCCGGGTGGAAGCAACAGAAAACCCAGCAGTTTTTGCGAATCGTCTCACGGCCAGAAGGCCGGCTTTGGAAATGTGCCTCCTTAATCGTATGCGTAAAGAAATATCCACGAACCCGGCTGCCTCTGTCCGCTTTCTCAGGGGACGCGCCATTGCCAGTCCTCAGGGCTCACCCCCGCCTTGGGGGAGTCCTCTCCTCCGTCACCCCGCGAAGACTTCCGAGGGGTGACTGCCAGGGACACCCCAGTGCACAGGCTACGAGCAAAGATCAGGATACATTCCGCCCTGAAACATCGAACCTACTCCTCCAGGAAAGCAGCACCCTATGCCCTGATTGGCTTGGTGCGGTTCTCATAAAGATATATTTTTAAAATTTGGAACCATGCTATGTTTACAGAAAAGCTGCCAAGAAAACACAGAGCTGCCCCTCACCCCGTGTCCCCGCCCCGGGGCCGCTCAGGTGGCCACCACCTTCCGCGGTCAGAATCCGCCTTAATCACAGGCTCCGAGAGGCCGGCCGCCCGGTGCCTGCAGCGCGTGCCCCCGACGGCGCCGGGAGCTCTGGGCGCGGGGACCGGGCTGCGGCGACCCGGCCGTGCGGGCGGCGCGTCCCCCTCGGGCCCTCACTCCCGGAGGAGGACGGCGGGCCCGCGGCCGCCCTGCGCGCACCTCCCGGCGGCCAGTCCCCCAGGCGGCGCCGCGACCGGAGCGGCGGGCTCACCGGAGCCTCCCTGTGCAGCCGCCGGCGGGGGGGCGCGTCGCCGGGGCTCCGCGGGCTCCGCGGGGCAGAGGCCCCGAGGGCGCCCCGCTGGGCCCCGGGGAGCAGAGGGGGCGCCCGTGGGTGGTCCCCCCACCTGACAAGGACGCCGAGGGGGGGAGGGGAGCGGAGCGGAGGGGACCCCGGAGTCCAGTCTCCACGGCCAGGGCCCCCGGGGGCTCCGGCGGGACCATGGCGCCGCGGGCGGAGAAGCCGGAGCCGGCCGCGCGCCCCCCCGCGGCCCCCCGCCCGCCGCCCGCCGCCTCGCTGCGGGCCCCAGTGCGGGCCTCAGTGCGGGGCCCGGAGCAGGTGCGGGGCCCCTGCGCGGGGCCTCAGTGTGGAGCCCCAGTGCGGGCCTCAGTGCGGGGCCCGGAGCAGGTGCGGGGCCCCAGCGCGGGGCCTCAGTGCGGGGCCCCCGCGCGGGCCCGGAGCAGGTGCGGGGCCTCAGTGCGGGCCTCAGTTCGGGGCCCCAGTGCGGGCCTCAGTGCGGGCCCGGAGCAGGTGCGGGGCGGACGGCGGACGGCGGACGGCGGACCGCGGCGGCGGCGGCGGCGCTCACTCACTTGTCGTACTCCTGTGTCATCGCGCTCCTCGCCGCGGCGGGCCGCCCAACTGGACTTTCGGGTTCGGACGGTACAGCCGACCCGGGGGAGGCGGCGGCGGGTCCGGAGCGGCAGCCCCGACGGGTTGGGTTCGCTTTTCTCGCTCTGAGCGGGGCCGCGCCGGCCGCGCGCCTGGGGGCCGGGGGCGGGGCTTCGGGCCGGGGCGGGGCTTGGGCGGGGCTTCGGGGCCCGGGCGGCGGCGGCGCCTCCTGATTGGCCGGCGCGCCGGGCGCCCGGACGGGGCCCGACCCGGCCGAGCCCTGAGGGGGCGGCGCGCGGGGCCTCCCGCCCGGGACGTCCCGCCTCGCGCGCACCTGCCGCCCCGCGGCCGCCTCCGCGCGCCCACCCCGGGCGGCCGGCCGCCGTGTCGCCCTCCCGGGGCCGGGCCCGGGCGCCGCCTTCCCGGGCGCGGGGCGCTCTGCCTCCGCCGCCCTCCCGCCCACGCCCTCGCCGCCGGCGCCCGCCCCCGCCCGGCGCCCGCCCCCGCCGTCCCGTCACCTCCCGGTTCGCGTCCCCTCGCTCAGGCGGCCTCCGGCTTGGCGCCCGGGGGCACCACATCGCCCCCCTGGCCTGCCCGCCGCCCGCGCCCGGCTCCCGGGCCCTGCGCGCCCATCGCACGTGGCCCCCGTGGCAGCCCCGGCCCCTCCACGGCCTCCTGGCCGGTTCCCCTCGGGTGGAGGCGGTGGGCCCCCGCCGTGTGGCCTCCCTGAGCCGCCCGGTCCGGTGTCTGCCCTTCCCCTCTCCTGGGCCCCCCTCACTGCGGGACCCGCCAGGCTCCCACTTCCAACCTCTGCCTACCCCCCGGAGCCCTGGGGGTCCCCTGGCCTCAGCTCCCCCCGCCGGCAGGCCCCTCCCTCCAGTGCTCCTTCCTCCATCCATCGTCCCACCGTCCATCCATCCATCCATCATCCGTCCATCCATCATCTATCCATCCATCCATCCATCGTCCATCCATCCATGGTTCATCCATCCATCCATTGTCTATCCATCCACCGGTCCTGCCCCCTCGCCTCCAGCAGCCCTGGTGCAGTCTCTCCCTCACCACCTCCCCCAGCCCAGCTGTCCTTCCTGAGGGTGAGACCTGCCCGTCCATCCAACAGACATTTATTGTGAGGCCGATGCCAGGCACTGAGCTAGATGCTGGGGTGCCAGCGAGAGGACAAACCCGTGCCTTCCTCCAGCACCCCCCGCGGGAGCAGACCCAGAGCGATACTAATAAGAGGATCCTGTGGTGTGTTAGCAAGTGGCGCGTGCATGCAGCAGAGCAGGCAGCGGAGGGCAGCGGTGGAGTCGGGGTTAGGCTTGAGGGAGAGAAGCCTTCAAGGCGGGGAGGGTCCAGGGGGAAGCACAGCTTTGCAGAAGGTGGGGCCACTGACAGCAGGGACCAGCATGGCTGCAGGGGGCAGAGCACAGGACAAAGGGCGGTAAGCCTCTGCATGGCCTTGGGTTTTTGCTGAGAGGTGGGAGCGCATTGGAGGGTTTGGATTCAGGCAGGGGTGTGGTCTCACCCGTGTCTTTTTATATATTTTTATTGATCAGAGAGGAAGGAAGAGGGAGAGAGAGATATATCAGTGATGAGAGAATCATGGATCAGCTGCCTCCTGCTGGGGATGGAGTCCGCCACCTGGGCACGTGCTCCTGACCGGAATCGAACCCAGGACCCTCAGTCCACAGGCCGACGCTCTATCCACCTAGCCCAACCGGCTAGGGCTCACTCATCTCTTTACATAACGTGGGGGCTGGGCGGTGGGGCACAGAGGTGGGAGCAGGGCAACGCCCAGCCCGGGTGTGAAGGAGGGGTGAGAGAGGTCAGCTCCGGTCCAGCTGAAGGCAGCACCAGCAGACACCCTGACATTGGGTGTGGGGTGTGAGGAAGACAAGGGAGTCCGGGACCACGGCGAGGGGTTCTGCTGGCAGCAGGGGGTGCGTGGCCGCCGGGGAGATGGGAAGGCTGCAGGCGCCGGTCTCGGGAGGTGGGGTTTGTGTGTGAGCTCGGGGTTCCTTCGTAGAAATCCAAGGGCTGCCTCCCCAGACAGTGGGCTGTGATCGGAGGCCCGGGAAGAGGTCTGGGCTGCGGATGCCGGAGGTGTTAGCGCAGAGACGGTGCTGGAAGCCTGCAATGGTGCGGAGAAAGCTGGACCAACGCCTCCAACGCAGGCTGGAGAGGGGCCGGCGGAGGAGGCTGAGGAGGAGGAGGAGAGGGGACCCAGCGGAGGAGGTGGAGGAGGTGGAGGGAGACCCGCCGCTGCAGGAGGAAAATGGGAGCCGAGAGAAGAAACGAGACCCGCGGGCGGTGTGTTCGGAGGGGCGCATGCTGCCAGGGGACGAGGCTTTAGCCACACGGAGGCCACGGCCTTCATCCAGCTCCAGCGGCCGCTCCTCTGCTCCCGGCAGCTTCCTGCCCGGTGCTGGGCCCCGTGGGACGCGGACACTCTGACTGCGCCCTCCTGCCGTCCGCAGCTGCTGTCCCTCAGCCTGGACAGTCACCGGAGCACAGAGCCTGTTCTTCCTGATCCTCTGCGTCTGGTTTAAATACATGACATTTTGAATGACCTGTTTTCAGAAAAACATTAAGTACATTTCCTTCTCCATCCTACCCCAACAGGTATTTCTAAATGTGTGTCCCGGTGAGAAGCCCCTCCCCGTCCCCGGCTCCTGCCCCCTCCCCCAGTGCCCTGGGCCCCGACACCGTGTTCCCCCAAACTCATCTGGGGATCTCCGGCCCCCGGCCGGCACGCCATCCCTTCCTCCCCTCCCCCCAACTCCCCCGTCTGCCCACCAGGCCCACCTCCATGCCTTCTCCCCCAGCGCCTGCCCGCCATTCACCCAGGCGCTCGGCCTTTTGCTGACTCCGCTCTGCCTGTGTCTGAGGAGGCGCCTTGGAGTCCATCAGACCCGGGTTCGAATCTCAGCCCGCCCGATTTTACACTGAGGCTCTGCCCCTCTGCCAGGCCTGAGGGCTCATCTCCACGAGGAAACCTGTGCCCGCTTCGTGGCGCTGAGAGAAGGCAGTGGCGCCCACGGTGCCGGGCACCACGACACTCCGCCGTGGCCGTCCTCTGTGGAGACGAGGGGGGCAAGGGCCCTGGCCAGTTCCTCGAGGGCTGGTGGGGTGGCCGGGTGACCGAACCCTAACCTGGCCAGCCCCTCGCAAGCAGGGCCGCTCCCCAGTGAAACAGCGGCCTCCGAGCCCTGACGTGGCTCCGCACAATGGCCAGCGGGCACACCTGACATCCGACGGCCCGGCCCGCCCGCCCCGTCTGTCAGCACCGCTGCGAGCCGAGAGCCGGCCGTCGGGAGGGACGGGCGTGGAGGGGACAGGGTGGCGTCCCCGCCCTCCTCGCAGCTCTGTGACTCAAGGAGCCACTTATCATCTGAGCCGGTGTCCTCGGCGAGGACTGTGGGGTGACGACCCCTCTCGCCCACAGGGTGGTGGGTTTGGTTTGGTCCCGGGAGGTGGGACTCCATCAGAGTGAAACGCCTCACTGCCGTGTTTTCTTACCGCGGGGGGCAGACGCCGCGTCTCCTCCCAAGAAACCGCTCACAGCCTGGCACGGGCACACGCGTGTGACAGGGCCGCGGTCGGCAAACTGCGACTTGCAGCACTCTGGCCCCTGCAGTGTGGCTCTCCCACACAACACCACGGCCTGGGCGAGTCTATGTTGAGGAAGTGGCGTTAGAAGAAGTTGAAGTTTAAAAAATGTGGCTCTCCGAAGACATGTCAGTCGTCGTCCTGTTGATGTTTGGCTCTGTGGACCGATGAGTCTGCCGACCGCTGTTACCGAGGACCGGTCCTTTATATTCAGGAAGTAATGACACCAGTCTTCCTCGGGCAGAGTTCCCTGTGCAAAGTGCTCCCGTGCCTGAGCTCATTGGATTCTTAACTCACCCCTTTGAGCCCGGCCAGGGTGGGTCCCTGGTTGAGCGCCGCCCTATGATCCGGGAGGTCACGTTTGATTCTGAGTCAGGGCACAGGCCCGGGGTGTGGGGCGTGCAGGAGGCAGCCCATCCATGATTCTCTCATCAGATGTTTCTCTCTCCTTCTCCCTCTCTGAAATTAATAAAAAATACATTTTGAAAATAAAATAATGTCCATTTAAAACGGCTGAGCTGTTGCCCCCACTTTGTAGGTGGGAAACCAGCGAAGAGGATAAGTCCCTCCCCAAACCCGCCTTTCATCGCAGCGGCTTTCCTTGGCTTTTCCAGTGCTGTGGGCCTCACTCTGCCCATGAGGAGGGGCTGCCGCTGGTGAGCACTGTCAGAGAAAAGCTGGCAGGTAGGCTCGAGGCAGTGGCAAATCCGGAGAATTTGAGGCCAGCCGCTCTGTTAACATGTAGCTCGAGGACCAAGCAAGGCACACAAAGTGCCTCTTAGTGCGTGCCCGCTCCTTGGTATGTGCCCGCTCCTTTCCAGCCGAGCACACCTCCCGCTCGCTCTCCCTGACAGGCCCAGGGTGGCCCTCACTCTCCCGTGGGCTGGGGGGAGTGGACGGAACCAGTCCGTGGCTACAGAGCGTGTGGGAAATGTTGCCCATGCTGTTTATCTTGGTGAATTCTGTTTCCCGCCAAGGTCACCCGTGTCTTAGCCGCCGGATCTCCCGCCCAGCCCTCGGGGGTACGTGTGCATGGCTGAATCACGGTCCAGCGCTCAGGCTGTCTGACAGGAGGCCGAGCCCCAGGGGCGGGTGCGCCCGGTGCTTGGGGAGCAGGTGGGGAGTGGAGGAGAGGGCGCTGCAGCAGGGTCCCGGAGGGATGCGCTCTCCAACAGAGAACAGCCAAGGCCTTGAGGTGGAGACATCCCCCGTGTTCAGGAGCCCCTTGCCTGAGGTTGAGGGAGCAGGGCAAGGGAGGTGACAATCTAATGGAATCCCCCACCTCCACCCCCCCCTACCTACTCCCCCCCCCTCTACCCCCCCCCCCCCCCCCCCCGGCCAAGCCAGCAGCTGTAGGCAGAGGAGCGAGGACTGGGAGTGAGGACTGGGCGCCTCCCCGCCTCCCATGTCAGCAGATCTGTTTGGGGCCACCTGGGAGAGGCATGGCAGGGTCTTAGGAGGGAGAGGCTCTCGCAGCCCACAGGAGCCGCACGCCGGGGGCCTGCGCTGGGCATGGACGCCTACGGA